GGTCTCTGTGAAAATTGTTGAAAAGGAGTTTCCGGTCTAGACCCTGCTCTTATTTTGAAAAGTGTTCCTGGATAACTTCTGTTTATGATTGGCGCTATTTACAAAATTGAAATTGAATTGAATTGAAAGGCAGATGGCCAATTATATGAAGGAGGTTCTACAAAAAATCCCACTAATTACTACTTGTAGTCTGATAATTGAATGTAATGATTACAGTCATGTAATTGTGCAAAAGTGCATGTTGGTTACCAATCTGATTACCATGCACCTAAGAGATAATATTCTAGAAAATATTTGGTTGGTTATAAACCAACAACCTTTTCTGAAAGAGAAAACAAACACCAGTAGTTCAATTATTACCCAAACCGTGTATTGTAAATATCCACATTTAGCAGAGTGCACTTACTTTATTACCACCGAATAAAGTGATAATCTGTTGGCCTGTACAACCAGTATTATCATATGATCAGTAGTGCCTCTCTCCGCTGTGGGGCCTATTTTTAGCAATCTTGTTGCATTCCAAGATCTCAGCAATCATTCCATGATTGACAATGTTACCATAACTGAAGGAACTGAGACTGTGGTTTCCACTGAGGAGCAAAAAACCCTTCAAATTTGCAAACACCTGGCTAGCTAGCAAATGTTTTCATCTCACATCTCACATAGATAAGGTCATATACTGTAATTTATAATTTAAAAACAATAAAACAAATTAATTTTAGATTAAACAAAAAAATGTCACTTGAAATACTTAATCACATTACAGTAAATCTTAAAGGTACCCTGCAGAGTGTCTGACCACTAGAGGTGCTAGCGAGCAATGTTTTGATGAGTGGGCCCCTGTTTTGTTTTGACACTTGTGTACGCGTAAGCATGCAGCTGACGAAATTCACACTAATGCAGATGAGTTCATGTTAACCCACTGATTGGCTGTGACCATAACAAAATCTAATGTTTCCACAAAAACAAGGCGGAAGAAGACGGCTAGCTTGCAAACATGGATATACACAATGTAGATAAAAAAAATTTAATTGGCAAATATTTCATAAGGAAGGAAATGGATTGACGTTTGTTAAGTGTCAAACAATTGCTATGTTTGTTTACAAGAAACCATAAACCATGAAGTCATTAAAGTAGGACTGAAATGAAAGACTAATAATAGTGTCAACAAGGGATAATATGTGATGCAATCCACGTTACCTTGCATCATTATTATTAATGTGTAACTTCATATTCACTCATAACTCTTACTGCCATGCAAATGTGTAAACTGTGTAGTGCGTGATGTGAATACTTCTAGTTTGAAATTACATGCAAACAACTATATTTTTTATTTAGAGACACTTCTAGGAACCTTTATTTCTTGTTGATTCTGGCAGCCCCTGTGGACAAAAGCGGTAGACTTTCCACCGACTGAATTCATTGATTTCACGGGGAATCAGACCCAGTGGCAGGTATTAAAAATAACTATATAGAAATAGCTAATCTTCTAACTGATGGTCTTATTTGTTTATGTAGGTCATTCAAAGACATCAGAAATAAATTGAGTTTCATAACCAGTCAAAAACTCCTTGTTGTATGTTTACGAAAAGCTTAAAAAATAATTATCCACAGTAAAAAATCATAACACTAACTAAAGAGTATATCTACTTTTTTAGAGTTCCATACAGTTACTTTATGTGACCCGTCTTGCAGACCATAATAAAGGGTGTGCATGTGACAGTAGTTGGGTGGCAGTTTTGAGAAAAACATAAGCAACACTTGACTACATTTTTGCAAGGCTAGGTTAATAGAATAAAAACCCAAGGACAAATGAAACTAAGAAGAAAGATAGCTGTCTCAATAGAGTCACAGAACCAAAGCTGCTGAGAGGTCTGAAGTGTGGAGGGAACAACCCTGTTGAGACGCCTTTGGGGCAATTATAAGATGAATAAATCAAAAAGCTTTCATTGAAACATGGCTAGGCACAGATAAAATCCAAACTAACCACTTTATTATTAACCATTTCTCTACAAAGCTGTCTGCTCTGCATTAACAATACCAAAGAGCTTGCGTATTACAGACTCACTGTGATTCTCCTGCCATGCCTCCACCAGCTCTTTATTCTGTTTAAATAACTACGCAGTATAGTGTTTGTGCATGAAGAGAGCTTTGAAGAACCTTGTTTTGCATGGACAGTGAAACAAAAGAACACCTACAACAAGTGGACAAAAACAACACTGTCTGGTCTCTCTTTGAAACTTTGCCTGCATCAGTGAAATATTACATTACATAATATGTAATGTCATGTAATATACAAATGAAGTGTGTAATTTTTTCTACATTGTGCCAGTGCAACACTAAATGCTATGTGGTTTTCTAAAATGTCAGATTGTCTAAAATTCTGTTGATTTGAGTAGTCATACAATGGCTATGTTTTTTGAAATGTCAAGTTTTCTGAAGAAAGTTTTTGTTGATTTAATTTGCATGTCAACGTTTCTATTTTTTGTAAATATTGTGTTTTCATAGGTGCCGTTAGGGTTACCCAAAATATCTGACATATTTTCTGTTCTGCTCATTCATTTTCTGAGAGGTTAACCTTTGTAAAAGGATTTCTGCAATTTTTTTTTCTGAAACTTTGTATTTTCTGAATATTGTTTTCGTTAATTTCTTTAACTTAAATGTCAACTTTGCTAAATACGTTTTCCGAAATGTGCTTTGCACCTCATAGCCACCGTAGAGAATGTCCTAAAAATCACATTTGTCTCTCGGAGTTAATGAGATGAACAATGGATGCAGATATTGTGACATCATCCAAGTCATAACTATGGCTCTGTAACACATCCTATTTTGCATAAATGTGCCAAACACATAACACAGATGCCTCATGTCAGTCAAAGTCCATTCAAGGTTAATTACACACTACTTCAATGCATTTAGTGCTACACTGGTCAATGATTTCCACTACAAATGTGTGTGCATGTCTGCGTCTGCCATATAGAGTTCCTAGACTGGCCCTTTCTTGCTGATTCAGTGGTGTGGTGTTGCGTTACATGACCGTTTCTCATCTGCACAAACTGCTTCCTCTGACCCTGAAGGACAACATCTGCTTGTGTGTGTGTCACTGTGTGTGTTAATGGGTGTGTATTGAATCATCCATGCATTGGTGGGAGCTTATGTTTATGTAAGTGTGTATTGTTAAATGAATAAATTTTAATTTACCGCGGTTACCTGGAGTTCCCGCGATTCTTCCTCTGCGGCGGAGGCATGATAGGACAAGACCTGGAACACAGACACACACACAGAAAAA